GCTGAGGGACAGGCAAAATGGTTAAGGAGACCTGTACCCGGAGTTGATAATGGTTGACAACAACGATAACCATTTTAAAGTTTTGCTCCTATGACAACGAGTCAAGTGTTGATGCCAAACACACTGACACAGAGTTATGCGTTGTAAAGGAGAAAGTACAGAATTATGTAGAAATGCTTGAAGCATAAAAGCAACAGACAAGTGTTTGCAGATCTGCTTATTAAAGGCTTGCCGCCCAGTGTGTTCGGAGAACACACAGTCGACATGGGTTTTGTGGTATAGTCTAAGACTTCCGGACAATAAAAGGGCCCAAGGTTAAAGAATCTGTTTCAAAATAGAGGAGTGTGTTGTAGGTGTTGATTCTATCGGGAATGAACCGTGATGATGAGACATGCTCTACATGCAAATCTGTGATGGAACGAGTACTTTGAAAAGAGTTATTTTAAAGTATAAAGTTAAAAGTATAATGATGAGATCAAGGGGGAGAATGTTAGGTTGATCTCTCCACCAATGGGCCCAACGGCTCATTGGGCCCTTGACCCACGCCCTGATCGGGGGCGTCCAGCCCAAGCAAGGCTGGTGGGCCCCTATCGCACAGTGCTATAAAGAGGGGGTGGGGACCAGAGGCACGAGGTACGAGGTTCGTCGCTGCCATTATTCCCCACTCCTAACCCTATCCGATCCAGAGGGAGGCGCTGAAACGATGGGAAGCCCACCAACGCCACCACTTCGCCCACTACTCTCAGTCATTCCGGCAGCGTCACCATGGCCGGCACCAGGAGCTCCTCGAGCCACAAGAAGAAGGTAATACCTACCATCACTGTTGCAGGAATCCTAGCCTAACCGATCTACTGCATCTATCAGCGTCGCCATGAGTGGTCGGTGCGGTTGTGTAGGCGGCTGGCAGTTCCTTTCCTGTCAGAATCAGGGCCTTTGGTGGAAGGCGGGACTTTAGAACTTTGAGGAGTAAACCTTTTGAGAGTTTGGATAGGTGCAACTTGACTCCTCAAAACCTAATCTTTTGTGGAGTTAAGCCTTTTTAGGAGTTTGGTTAGAGATGCTTTAATCCTTTGACTTATTTTCTCCCAAAAAAATACAACACCCATATTTCAAACGGTGGGATTATCATGCATCATTGTATATCAACAACTCAAGATGTGAATGGGTCGGCCCGGACCAGGCCTTGGACCTGGACCCGTGGCCTCAAGGCCAATTTCAAGGGTCACAGGTCGATCCACTCTGACAAAATCCTGTGGCCTCACTGGCCCATTGGGTACCCCAGGGCTGACCCGAAATTCAGCTAGAATTCCACAGCCTTTTAGCTATGTATATACACTAGTTTTGCAGACTACTTCTACAACATTTAGAGCATGTCCACAACAGTCAAGATACACACCATGATGCAACCATCTTACATACACAAGGCAGATCAGAGCATTATGAAGATGTCGGATTTAGTAGCAGAAAAAGATTGTGTTTGGATGTTACAAATCGGTTACCACGTCGAGGCTAACCAAAAATTTAGTACCGCCCCGATCAAGAAAAGACTGCCAACTAAGTTCGGGTGGAGGGGACATTCATCTCTGGCACATATGCATGTGTGATTTGCGACATGTAAACCCATGCATTCTCAGGTAAACCGATTAACATACATGAATGCAAAACAGTACTAGTTCAACATATCAAGCTTTTGGTCAGAATACACGAATATCATCAATTTTACATATGTTTGCACTTACGTTTGGTTCATGAAAAATACCCATTTTGCCTCCTTGTTTTGGTTACAAGGCCGCAATTGCTTGCGTGAACAGCACATTTCAAATTCAGCCACACCATTGAAAATTCATTGCATCAAGACTCCGTGTATTTTTTCTGAAGCACATTGCCACATATTAATTCTTGGATGCGCTATTTATGAAGGAATTATATAATCCCTAATTATCCATAGTAGACCGGAAAGACCAAAAACTATTAAGTTGGGAAAATTATTGGAGAAAAGCAAGTCAAACTGAAAAATAGAAAGCTACAAAGTTGGTCTACTAACTATTTCACTAAAATAACAAAAAATAATCAACATAAATTTAGCGTTAGTTAGCTTATCAATTTGAGATGACAGGGGGCTTTGTCGGTAGTTACAAAATCTAGTCATGTCCTACAACACGGTTCCATTTTTTGGTACATATTCCACTCAGATTCTTATTTTTATCGTTACTTTTTACTAGAAGGCATGAAAGTTGTGGTTCGAGAAACAAATAATAATAAGACGGTGTATAAACACTAAATAATAATAGTTGTCGGCATGGTAGAAGAAAAATCAACAACAAAATTCCATGAGACGCATGGTTCCACACTTCAACAACATTATACATGTGCGTAATCGCTACTTACTCCGTTCCATAGTTTTTGTGGTGGTTTTAATTCAAATCGTAATATATTCAACATGACCGAGTTACCAAACAACGACCAAGGGAACAGTACAGCTTAGATTTAAGCACCTACAATCATAGAGAGCATGCAAACATTATTTACCTGGATAGGAGAGGTACAGTTTGTTGAGGAAACAAATCAGGGCAGTTAAAACTCATGAGGCATTATACTATTACGAGCGAACACATGATATGCAAGGATCAAAAATCTAAACTGGAACTCTCAAGCTTGATGGTGAAGGAATGACACACGGATACTTCTATAAGCTTCCTTACTTCGCAGCATTGTAAAGGAGGTGACGAGCAAGGCCTGCGTGAGGACTCAGGACATGACTAGCAAGGCCTACACCATCTGAGGGTGCATCTTCTGATCCGAGGGTCTAGATCTTCCGCAGCAAAGACGGGACAGTCATAGTTGCTGACCTCCATGGATTAATGTGGAGGCTTCAAAAGAGCATCAAATTAGTAAATATATATATATCAGATTTGTTGCTCCTCTTTCTGATAAGTCATCAATCTAGCCAAAGTAGCACTTCTTTTTATAGAAGACACCCAGTCTAAGAACCTCTGATTGCTGTTTAAATGAGATAAAACTCTATTATGTATTTATTTTGAGTAAGAATTACACATTAACTAAGAAATAGGCAGTTGCAAAAAGTGTGTGCCAACTTCGGTATACAACAGGAGAAGCTTTCCAAGTAACATTTGCGCTAAGATCCAAAATTCTGCAGGTAATGAGAAAATCGTAACAGAGATGAATGGCATCAGGGTGGCAAATGTTTGAGGACATAAAAGTGGTCTGCACTAACAGGACATGACCTAGCATTTTCAGAGTAAGTACGACTCGATGTTCAGTTCAGCGACCAAGTGGCATGAATGAGCAGCTGCAACCTGTATCAAAATAGCTCTGTAAGGTCAAGTGTGTCTACTTATCCTCGAGTCTGACACCACCATGTATGTAATTGTACAGTTGAAATGTACACCAGCCAACGGTGGGGATGTTGCTGACAGAAAACAGATACAACTCAACTAACTTGATATAAGGCTTTCCTGAGTGATAACAATGGGCCTTCAAATTATCTGGTATGTTATGCTACACCTTCGTGGGTAGGTCAACACAGAATACTTACTACCGCACTATACAGTTTTGAGATCAGATGCCATTAGACCATTCAGAAATAAAAGAAGAATATAAAGTAAGAGACGGTTACAAATGCAGAACATGATTTGGTATCTATTTAGTAAAGCAGAAACAGCAACCATTATAATGCCGTAAGTTTAGTCTGTACCTGCTGGTGAGTGAGATCATGTCCTCCAGTTCTTGGGCACATCATAGTTGTACACATGAAGAGCACAAGACATAATTCACAGGTTATATAACCCCCGCTGGCATTTGGGGCTTTCCATTTTTTTAATAAAGAAACTGCATGCATTAGCAGCTGCTAAATTCAACTGTAAACTGAATAGCAGCTTTGTTGCCAAAGCTTTTGACAGTCCATTCCACAAAAGTGCCCCTAGAGGTAGAGTGAAAATGAAGACCATTTATAACACCAGAAGTTTGCCAGTGCACAAAAGAAAAGTTCAGAGCATGAGTATCTATCCCGGAGTTAGTGCAAAACAAAGTGTTCTAGTGTGAAAGTTATCTATCATGCAAGTATCAGGTTCAGTGTTGATACTTGAAATAGAAACTAACACCATTTAGCCTCTCTGAACAAATCTCCAAATATTCATTTGCTCTGTATTTAACTTGATATGGTGGCATATTAATCACCATTTGCTGGGCACACCCCTGATTTTAGCTGAACAAACATAATTGTATATCAGCTGACTGCATGTTCTGGATTTGCAGTTCCTTGAATGGATTGGGTGTCGTATCGAATAGTAGAGAGATATGATAAGACTAACTCATGACGGCTTCTTCGGTTTAGTTCTCACGATTTAATTCATTTTACGATCATGATTTAGTCTCGGATAGGTCAGCTTTTCACAGTTAAAAGTTTCCCAGCAAACGTCAACCATAGAATTTAGGAACAAAGCAAATCAATTTTTAAAGAAAATGGGAAGAAAAAGGCGAACGTACAACCAACAGCAATATATTTTCTAAGCATAGTCCAAACATCAAACATTGAACTGCTAGTACTAACTGAAATATGATGGAACAAAGAAGACGATGAAACAAAAATGGGACATGCTGATAGAATTCAGCATGAAAGCATATCATACCAATGTTTTTAATGGAAACCAGGACAGAGTGGTTCTTTTGCTTTCTGGTTTGCTGGATCCTGGTTTCAACAAAAAATTGATCCACCCCCAAATCCAATTTCCATGATTTTAAACGGAAGTCAGAAGCACAAATATATTCCAGGACCTATCATTTTCAGCGATTGCAGGCGATGCTTTCTTCTCTACTGAATAATACATCGACACGTTGGGGTTCAACAGTCAATAGCAGATAAAAGACATCATCCAGTTAGGAAAAGAACACAAAAATAGGAATTACCAGCTTGCTACTCAGAATGAAAACCTTGTTGAGCGCCCTACACAGTTTGCCAATTTTCATAGCCCATTGATGGTTCAAGTAAATCTGAATCTAGCGGGCACTTCCCCTCCACAAGCGGCGGCATAATCTTCAGCAAGATGTGGTGCAGCTTCCTTGTGAGGGCATATGAACTTCTCCACGAAATACCTCTCGGTCTCCTTGAAAACAGTATAGTAGCTGGGGTCGCGCTTGAGCAATCCATTTTCCTTGAGAAACTTCACAACGTAGTATCGAGGTCTCATCCGGCCCTCTAGGCTGTAACAGAGCATTACTGGCCGACGAGCAATGTATGCCGGTTCCAACCCCACCTCGGAGATGAGGAACTCGGACCCATGCTGCAGCGATTCGTTCGACTTGGCGAGCAGAAACGGGGCCTTAGGCAGAGCAATGCTCACCTCGGCATCCGACCACCCGAACGTCTTCTTCAGGTGATCCACTTTGGCCGCGATCTTCTTCTCGTCGAGGAATGCAACGGCACTCAGAGCATGTCTGAACATCCCGGACCCCTGGGGCACGCCGAGGCCTTCGGTCAACGCCACCATTGTCCGAACGCACTCGAGGTTGGCGGTGACCATCCTCGGTATCGAGCTGCAGAGCTTGGCAATGTCGCCGTCACCCAGCCCGCACTCGCGCAGGAACGCGACGTTGAGCTCCACCCTCCGCTTGCAGCAGAGGAGGTTGGTGTTGAAGTTGATCGCCCGGAGCAGCTTCTCCATGGAGCCGCCGAAGAGGGGCAGGTAGTACTGCAGCTTGGCGACGATGGATCTGCAGCGGAATCTGTCTGGGGCGAGCGAGAGGAGGCGCGCCATCTCGGGATCTGACAGGCCGAGGCCGGAGAGCCCCGCGACGATGGGGGACAGGCCCTTGTCCACCTTAGTGCAGAGGAACTTGGGGTCCTTGGCGACGAGGGCGGCGACGTCGGCGCCGGAGAGGCCGCGGCCGGCGAGGAAGGCGAGCACGGCGTCGGGGTTGGCGGCGGACCTGAGGTGGGCGAGCTTGGGGGAGGCCTTGAGTGCCTGGGCTCGGGTCAGGCCGCAGGTGGAGACGAGGTACTCATCCACGGCGAACCCGGTGGTTGGGGCTGTGGCGCCGGAGAGGAGGCGGCGAGGAGAGGAGAGGATGCAGCTCCGAGCGTGTACCTGTGGTCGGGCGAGGCAATCCTCCGCGGCGGCGGATATGAGGCGGTGGAGAGGGGAGGTGGCGGAGGGGGTGGACAGCATCTGGATGAGGACGCGGCCTCGGCGCCGGAGCATGGCGGCGCCGGCGGCGAGTGGAGGGAGGGAGCTGGGTGAAGGAAGGGGAAGACGTGGGTCAGTCGTCTCTTTCACATTGAGAGACAGATACTGGTGGGCTGGGCTTTTTGTCTGCGCGAAATGGGCTGGGCTGCCCCTGCCCTCGGCTTACGCTCTTTTCTTTCTGATGCCCCGTCTTTTCACAAAAAAAAGTGAGTGAGTGACAAACGCACACACGCACACCCTATCCCTATGAGCACCTCCGAAAGACTGGGCTAACATCTCATCTTGAAATTTACGAAGTCACCGTAGGCACGTCGTCGACGACGGGAACGTCTCCTCTCACTGAATGCGCATCGCCGAAAATCCTGAAATAAATGCGAGCACCAGGACTTGAATCCTGGTGGGCTGGGGATACCACGGTCCCTCTAACCATCCAACCATAGATTGGTTCGCAGTGAGTGACAATATTTTGATGAGTTAAATATTTCTTTCTTTTTCTTTGTGATTGCATGAAGATGACCTGAGATTGAGCATCGATTCGGTCAATGATTCTTGGGATACATTGTAGGAAAAATCGAACTTTCATCGAAGGAAAGCAAATAAAACACCTTCATAAATATTCAGACGTGTTTGGTTGCCTGCATGAGGCCGGGTCTAGCTCGCGCGGGACGCGAACGGATCGGTTGGTTGTTGGGAACGTAGTAATTCAAAAAATTCCTACGATCACGCAAGATCTATCTAGGAGATGCATAGAAACGAGATGGGAGAGTGTGTCCACGTAACCTCGTAGACCGAAAGCGGAAGCGTTTAGTAACATGGTTGATGTAGTTGAACGTCTTCACGATCCAACCGATCCAAGTACCGAACGCACAGCACCTCCGTGTTCAGCACACGTTCAGCACGATGACATCCCTCGTGCTCTTAATCCAGTTGAGGACGAGGGAGAGTCCCGTTAGCACGACGGCGTAGCGACAGTGATGATGAAGTTACCGGCGCAGGGCTTTGCCTAACCACTACGACGATATGACCGAGGTGTTAAACTGTGGAAGGGGGCACCGCACACGACTAAGAGATTGTCTGTTGTGCTTTAGGGTGCCCCCTGGCCACGTATATAAAGGAGGCAGAGGAGGAGGCCGGCGGCCAGGAGGGGCGCGCCATAGGGGGAGTCCAACTAGGATTCCCAATCCTAGTTGGACTCCCCTTCCTTTTCCAAGAGGGGGAGAAAGGGAAGGAGGAGGAGAGGGAGAAGGAAAGAGGGGGGCGTCGCCCCCT